TGCGTCCACACACACACACACACACACACACACACTTGTTTGCTGCCGTGCACGCAGATAAACAAAGGCGCACACAGTCACAGAGGCCGAGGTGAAATTCCTGCAGCTCTCCTCCTGACTCTCTGCGTTATATAGATCTATAACACGAAGTCAAAGTCCCCCACATTTGGTAATATCACATGGAGCATTTGCCTTCATAATTCTCCTTAGAGCCGCCATCTCGCACAAAATGTAAACAGAGGACAGTCACCGGGCGCGTGGGGTTGGGGGGGGGGGGGGTCAGGAGGCGCTCATACTACTCAAAGTGGATTATTAGACATCAAAATACAGGAAGTCCAAAAGGGGGGGACACGACTCTTCCCTAAAGCCCTTTTTTCACATAACGTATCTATCCTTATGATGTTTTGGTTTTATTCGCCCATTTCTGGAGATCTTCTCTGTAAGATTCCAGCATTCAAACCAATACGGAATAGAAGTTTGCTTTACGGCATTGAAAATGTAGACATCGAAAAGTGTATATTGAGAGACAAAACTACACATTATTTCAAACAGACACGTTCCTGCACATTTGAGTGGATTACAGATACGTGAAATTTACCCTAACCCTAAATGCGAGGAAATACAAAACCCCAAACATTTGATTTGCACTTTTAATTACTCTTGAAATGTCAGATATTTGCCTACAATGATGCTACTACCCCATTATTTACGTATGCATTTATTTGTGTGGTCATTTGAAGTTTCAGATTAGAAATTATATTTCAAGGAACTGTTTCAAATGTTGAGTTTTTGCTGTTGTTCAGACTGACGTGACAGTATATTCATTGGATGTTTGTGCAGATATGAACAGGTTTAGTCTGGTTTAGTAGAAAGAGTGAAAGCAGCAGCTGGCTTAAAGCTCACAGTTGTGATTACTAAGAAACTGACTGGTATGATATCTGGCATTAATGGAACATGAATAAAAACACAAAAAGACATTTGATTTGGAGCTCTCTGTTGACCAACATCCGGACGGCACGCAGCATCTGGAACATAATGGCTCACATCTGTGATCCAGTCCAGTATTTCTTCCCTGTTCATTAAGCGGTGATTGTCCAAGATCACAAGAACAAAACAGATTTTAAACAGGTTAAAACAATCATCTTTTGGTTTGTAAAAAGTTGTGTTTTTATAGTTTTGGTCAGCTATTGTCTGCAGCTTCCTCTTTGTGCTAAACTGAAATAAACACTGGAGAGCATATATCTGTGCCAGATTATCAACCCCTCTGAAACAGCATTAAAAGCACTAAAATGCAAGTGGAAAGACGTGAAACTGTAACTGTTGCTAACAGTGGGCTCTATAAAATAGAGTATATAATATATCATAGCAAAAGCTGAGAAGACTGATTCATAATGTCAGTTTCACTGAGATCATGTTTATCCAACATTAGCTAACGGTGGCTAACATGCTAACTTCCTGGCCTAGATCTACTCTCTTATATAAAATACAGTTGGTCAAACACTCTTAAAGCCATTGTGTTTAAACCCTGGTGTTCAGTCTGCTGTGTGAAATAAGGGAACTCAACTCAATGTCATGTCATTTTGCAGTAATGAATACTGAATAATTACACTTAATTTCCAGACCCTTTACACATTATTAGTATTATCTCTTTCTTGTAAACTCTCATATATATTTGGATCCTCCTCTCGGACCCCAGGATGCCCTCATGGACTCTCAGAGACCCTCACATGAGATGATGTTTCACATGTGTTCTCTGCAAAGTGTTTTTAGTTTTTTCGCTCGAGTGTGTGTTTTTCCATCCGACATAGATGCACAAGCTTGTCTCCCAATCATGCGTTACCATGGTAACCCCGGTCTCACCTGGCTTCCTGCGCCCTGGGTGATCCTGTAAGGTAAATGGAGCTGAATGATCTGCGGAGGTCTGATTCTTTTCAATTCCGACAACACCTGGCGAGGGCGCGGCAGCCATTTTGATGTTTTTTCCTCCCAGCTTGACTGATTGACTGGGGCCCCCCACCCCCCCCCCGTCCTTCCTCCACCCCCACCTCTTATCCCGGCAGGTGCCTGGCTGAATGGGACATCATCGCCATGGAGATTGAGGCGATGACACACGACTGCACACACACAGACTCGGAGATGAGACTTTCACACTGGAAAAACTGAAACTTTAATCAAATGCATTATGTCAACAAATTACACATAATTGTATTAGGATTGTTGAAAGCAATACTATTAGGATTAACCTATTGGTTTTTATTGGAACGTAATATTATTGACTTCAACTAACCTAACACAGATATGTGTAATTTGTTGACATAAAACATTTAATTAAAGTGAATGTTTTTTTGTCAGTGCAGGAGCGAGCAGACTGGATGAAAGTTGTGTCTGGAGGAGGACAGACGAGGATTGAGCTGTCACTCCCAGCATCCTCTGCTCTTTCTCTCCTTTCAAATGTAAACCTTTCATCTGGGTTACACAAACTAAAGCATGGGACAAGCGACCGCGGGTGGAGATAAATGTACTCCATTTAAAGAACACTGACCAAGGCAGAGCAACCCCCCACACACACACACACACACACACACACACACACACACACACACACACACACACACACACACACAGTGAAGTTAACAGTTGATAGAGATTGTTGGTTGTGTTGGTGAAGAGCTCTGTATCTCTGGGGGCATTTACGATGCCCCGATTATATTTCTATAGCCGATCATTCGTTGACATTTTGCCCCGCTGAATGTGTCCCTGAGGGGATCTGACACGCCATGCTCTGCTGTGTTCACATGTGAATAATCAAATAAATGTACAAGCTGACATTTCCTCACCTTGACGTCCAGTGTGTCTGTTCTTTCATTATGACTTCTCATAGATATGCAGACTCCATACTCCATCAGCTTGGATCGGGCAGTAACTGTGAGGTTTAAATTGTCCCCTTTAGATATCATAGCAGCTAATCAAAAGTTAAGAAGTATTCACTCGCTAAAGAACTACTATTATGCATCAATATTTGTAATAAATAATCAGTGATAAATGTATGTCAATGTCTAAATGAAAAGAAATAATGAAGTTTATCTTTATTGAGTGCAAATATAAAATAAGTGATCATATACAGTATATCACCCTAACCGTAACTATTTCAGTGTGAATGTTTCAAAGGCTTAATCCAACTCAAGGTCCACTTACTACCTTTGTTCAGACTTTTAATCACATGGTATTCAGATGATGAAGTTTAGTTGTCATGGAGAAACATCTGCTGATGTGTGTGTGGTAAAGTCAGGGCCGTTTTTTGGCATAGGTGGTCGCCTAGGGCGCCAGATCTGGGGGGGCGCTGCGCTGGTAGCTCTGGGACCGTTTGCGTGCATCCTAATTTTCGGCCTTGATGTAACAACATTCATAATTAAGTAAATGTAACACCCTTTTCACCCCAGTTACACTTTTCATTTGCCCTGTACGATGGGCGCTGTAAGTGAGGAAAGTGGGGGATGTTGGCTTATCTGGCGCCCGCAGCTCACAGCCAAAGTGCGAGCGAGTGGTGTTGTTGTTAGCATCTGGTGCTAGCTGTGCTATCGGTTATAAGGAGATGTTTCAACAACAAGTAGAGGGAGAGTCCTCTGCTGTCAGACTGAGAGGCTCAGATAACTACAGCTCAGTGAGGTAAAGGACTCTGAGTATTTAGATGGTTCACTTTAGTCTAAGTTATCTCAGTGGGTCTCAAACGTTTTGATCACAATGTATGTAAACAAATATTTCCAAGGCACTCCTTTATAATGATTAGGATACAAACAGGTTTGAAATCATTCCAATGTATATTACAGAACATTAAACCAAAAATATAGTTTAAAACAGGATTGATTAGAAAAATGCGTAAATAAATGTTAACTAGGTAAAATAAGATATGAATGAACAACAAAAATAAAAGAAGTTACATGTATTTGTTATTGGTTATGTTCCCATACTTATTTGGTTGTTAAAATGTAAACGGATCTTTTTCATATGGGTGTTTAGAGTTGTACCCCCTAGATCAGGTCTCTAGTAATGGTGTGCTCAAAGTGCAACAGATTGAAGCATTTTACTTTCAATGTTTATCATTTTCTTCCCGGAACCCCCGAGCAAATTGGTCAGAACCGGCCCTGGGTAAATCATTTTCGGATTATTCATTGGCATTGGCTAAACATGAATCAAAGTTCATTTTTAATCTTTTAAATATTAAAAGGACTAAACCATCCACATGTCAAATGCATGCAGCAGAAACCGAGACAGCTTGTGTTTTATTTGACACATTACCCATCTTGTAAAAAGTTGTTTCTATTCAAACTGAAACGAAATGATACCATTTTGAAAACATCTTGATTGTAGACAACCTTTACTATGATGGTTTATTGCTGATTTTATCTCCAAATGTAGCAGGCTCCATCAGATCTTCTGGAGGTATACACTGGATGTGCTTTTGTATGTGCCTTCCTATGGAATGATTGTGTTTTTAACACAACCAGACAAGTGACAGGCTTAACATGCAACACCATCAGGTCTATGATCAAACACGAGAAGTTTCTTGACTAACCTGAGCCAACGATTGCAGTGTGTGTGTGTGTGTGTGTGTGTGTGTGTGTGTGTGTGTGTGTGTGTGTATGTGTGTGTGTGTGTGTTTGTGTGTGCAAACATTATAATATGACGACTATAGGTGTTGTAACTGTTCAAAGGATTAGCTCCTATACCTGTTGAAGGCAGTGGAGGCTCAGCAGGTAGAGCGTGTCACCAGTGCTGAGCTCACAGAGCTCTCCACTGGCTTTCTGGTGTCTCTCACTGTCAGAAGAAATCAGAAAAAAACTCACTTTGGGGCGGTAACGTGTGAAAACAAAGACTATTCCTACACTCTTTATCTGATGAGTAAAACACCCTGAAATTAAAGATGACAGTCAGCACATTATCTTTACTGTTTCCTGTCAAATCCAATGTATTGTAAGTATAGAGCTAACACAACAAAAAACTGGACTTGTCCAAGTCTTCTTTATTGCACATTTACATTTTTGCATAAAAAACTACCTCCAGTTTAGTAAGTAGCTTTATACCAATACCTTTATATCCACGTGGATCCTTTTTGTTCTGTGTATATGCTGTTCCTAAAACATGTAATAGCTTCTGCTCTAATCCAGACAATAGGCTCTGTGCACAAGATGGCGTCTATCAACTTTTCGTGGTGCGATGTCTGCTGAGAAGTCCTTGTATGCCTCGCTGACTTTGAGGACATCTGGGTCTGGCAGCTCCCCCCGCACGGCCTTGTAACGTGTACTCCTTTGAACATGTTTATATGATAATTAGGACTTTAAGAACAATTTTACACTCAGACAACAATCACAAAGTTGTAGCAGGCTACATACAATTACTTAGGACAATATATATTACCTTACACCGTCAGCAACTGTAAACTGCTTTGGCTTAGTGGAAATGAACACCATGTCACTCACTATGCCTGGTTTCACACCCTATTAATTACACAAAATAATTATCAAATGAATTGAAAAGGTCGTTGATGCAACATACTAAATCAGCTCTTGGCACAAAGGAAATACTCATTAAACCGTGGATTGGTTGTGAACACATACTGTACTTACCATGGTTCTTGGCTTGTGCCATCGCTGCTCTGTTTCAGTGCAGCTGAGGACAGGGGGGACAGCAGCCAGGTTGAGTGTGGAGTAGTGTGCGGTCTGGAACAGCAGTGCAACATTGTGGTTACAGAGTGCTGTTCCAGCTACACAGGAACACTTTGCCTCTGCAATCTCCACAGGTGAGCAATTCTCAAAACAAAATGTCAGTCATTTTATATTTAGGACACTGCTTCAATACAACACAGACAAATGAGAGAGCTGAGAGCAGGCTGATCAGGCAAGTAATAGGTGTGGGAAAAGGCTAAACCATGTCAGGTTGTCAGTCACATCACATACACAGAAGTTCTGCTGTTTGGAATACTGTAATTTAATGACATTCAAACAGATACGCTTGTATAGCCTGTCTCAGCTCTCTCAATGTATTATCTTATATTATAACTACATACAATAGTGTTAGTAGAATGTTGAACAGCTTAACATAGATGTAGGGTACAGAACCAGCACTTACCTAACACTGGCCCATACAAATGGACCCTTCATGGATTATACTAACCATTCAGTAAAGAACAGCAGCCGTCACAACCAGTTTCTGGGGTTTCCATGAAAGCAGAGACGGTTTTCAAGCTCTCATTAAGAATCTTTGATGAAAGCTAAGTTTGGGTTTAGCTAATGTATTTATCATTTTACACGAGAGGGTTACAAAACGAACATAAATCTGTAGTCCCTTCATGCTACACACACATAGCTAGCTACCAGTTGATGTGATCACATGTATTGTCACTATGTAATCTGTTGCAACACGTCAGCTAGCTGGGCTTATTTGAATCCTAAATCACAGGTTACCTACTCTTGCTACATCAAAACCCCAGAACATGAACCTGATTGAGGCTTTGAACCGATTAACACTTTTTATTCTCCTCCCTACTCTGAGATCGTGAGGCTTTTCATGCTTTCTCATGGACCTGTAACAGCTAGCCCTGACGCTCACTCTCCCTGAAGGTAAATCTTTGTTTGAAACTGTGGGGAATTGGATATCATTCATGTTATCCAAAAAAACGTAATAGTACATCATTAAAACGCTTTCAAGACTGTCAATTTGTGAAAGTTAGCCAGTAATTACAGCTTTGTTTGTCACTTACCTTCATAATTGTCGACGTAGCTACATCTTGAACCCCTTTTCTCTTTTGCTCCTCGGGGCTGAGCCTGCCGCTTGTACCAGCCGATGTACATCACTGATGTTAACCTTCGGTAGGTCTTGGAGACATCGAGTGTAAAATAGTGCCTATATAATATCTATACGCTATCTATCGCTCTTCCCTCTACCGCTCTACCGTAGACCGGACGTTTACAACCGCACACTCAATGAACCGGAAATGGAAATACTTCATCCCGTGCAACTAGCCTATAGACCAGTCCAACCAAGCAGGTTATAGCCATGACCCAATGACTGAGGCCAGCTGAATGTTTTTGACAGCCACATATGTTGCACGTATGGATGATCTCAAGGTGTATCTCCAAATGGTGGTGATTGTAATGCCTTCAGGTGACATATAGAATAAGACACCTTCTTTACTTTTGTTTACTGAAAAGCCAAAACTTGGAGAAAATAAAGAATTTCATGAGCATAAGTGATATATTCCACCTGCGGGATAATGAGATTGACAGCTCGCTAACTGTTGTTTGAACACGGCGCACGCTGCATACAGATGGACGACGACGAGTAAACATTCCCATGCATCTGAACGCGTCTGCATTGATGTAGTCTCCAAACGACATGATATTCAGAGGAGCTGGGGAAGGCATTTGCTCGAACATATGGCCATAGTAATAAGCATGCACATACATAATGATGCACACGTACTACATGCAGGGATAGCTATAATTTGAATTGACTTTACAGGCAGATTGATTTTCCTTCAGGCAGTAGTTTTAAGTATAGGACAGATTGCAGCCCACACAAATGACCTGATACAGCAAGATCTGAGCACCACTAACATTCCTCCATCCCGCATCAGCTCACTGAAACGTCTGCTCCTGGGAAACTAAAACACTCCGGTTCATCCTGCAGGTTCAGAACAATACTGTGTTTGTCCTGTAACCAGCATGCTAACACTGGCCTGATGTAGTAAATAAATCAAGTTGAATACAAATATGTTAAAATTGGATATGTGTTAACTCCTGACGGCTCTCCATCCCGTCAACCTGCCTGCCACGGGAATTGCTCCTGTCACACTGAGACGAGAATGAGTCCAAGGGTGTTTTTAATAGAGCCTGTCAGTGTGCGACTGATGAAAACACACTGATATCTAAAAACTCATTTGATGCTGGCACAAAGGAAAACATGCAAACACACACACACACACACACACACACACACACACACACACACACACACACACACACACACACACACACACACACACACACACACACATACCATGTATACATCACTTCAGGGGACATTACATTGACTTACATGCATTTCCTGGAGACTTATCCTAACCTTAACCATAACCAACACATGCCTAACCCTTAACCTTACCCTAACCCTAACCCTTAACCTTACCCTAACCCTAACCCTAACCCTTAACCTTACCCTAACCCTAACCCTTAACCTTACCCTAACCCTAATCCTAACCAAGTCTTCACCGTAAAATGAATGATTCCCCTTATGGGGACCTCCATTTTGTCCCCATAAGGGAGGCGAGTCCCCACACGTGACTGTGTAAACAGATTTAGGTCCCCACAAGTATAGTAATGCTAGGCCACACATACGCACGCACGCACACACACACACACACACGCACACACACACACACACACGCACGCGCACACACACACACACACACACACACACACACACACACACACACACACACACACACACACACACACACACACACACACACACACACACACACACACACACACACACACACACACACACACACACACACACACACACACACACACACACTATGGTTGTTTTTGCTATACTTGCAAGGACAGTTCATTGATCACACCCAGTTCCTTATCCATTAACTCCCTTCAGTCTTTAAAGACTTCCCCTTAAAATGTTGAATATGAACAAAACACACCTTACTCAGCAGTATACACTCTTAGTGTTCGTAGCCACTGTCTTATTTAACCACTCTGGACTCCTCCTGCAATGTTGGAACAAATTATTCGGTAATTGTGTAATATTGCTGTACTTTCTTCTTTTTGCCATATTATTTCTTTAATACTGAATCTCAAATGTGAACGGAATCCTTGAACCCGGAAAATAGTCCGCTTTTTAGCCCTTCTGGCTGCATGTATCGAATCCATACTTTTTTTAATGGGTTTTTAGTTAAAGGCGTAAAAAAAAGGTCTGTGACTTTCACAAGCTTCAGAGATTCTCAAGTTCTGTTGTCCTCATCTCATTGTCTTATTATTCAGAAATCCAATGGAAACATCTCATTGTTTATTGTCCCTTTACTTCCGGGTCGGCCTACAACAACCCTCAGGGGCTTAGTCTGTGAGCTGTAGGGTCGCCGGTCCAAGTCCCCGAACAGACCTAAATATGGAGTGTGGCCTGCTACTTGCAGAGGTCGCAGTTCACCTCCTGCCCTGCCGTGGTGCCCTTGAGCAAGGCACCGGACACATAATTTCCTATATAGATAGACATTTGATTTTCTCACTTGATACAGACACAGCACAATATCATAGGAAATGTGGGGAAATAAATGTATCTGTTTTGGGTCCAGATTGTTTTTCTCAAAAGTGTAAGCTCTGATAGGGTTCTGTTTTTACAGTGAAGGAAATGGGCTGATGTGATTGGTCATTACCACACAAGCTGTTAATGTATTCTGACTAATCCCACACTGTTTGCAAGTCTGCAACAGATCTGCTGTTCACCTCAGGCCACAGAAATTACCACAAATCACTCGCCACACCCAATGCTCTGGTGCCGCGCGCCATTGGTTCACAGTGATAAAGCCTCAGGTGTTTGGAGAGCATATAAGCTTCATAAAGACGGTTTTGGTTGAGTCACTATTGTGTTGTAGCAATTTGTGATGAATAGTATAAAAGTGAGCATTTATTTCTATGTCACAGGTTAACTAACTTTAAAGTATCAAATGTCAGACATCAGGCTAATAAAATAACATTCAATGGAAACCTGAAAAATCGTCACAAAGACAGAAGTAAAAGAACACACACACACACACACACACACACACACACACACACACACACCACACACCACACAGAGCTCCCGGTGAGGTCCATTCTAAGGCCTATTAAATAATCAGTCAGGTTTCTACCCCGCTGGCAAAAATCAGAGCCAATCGGCAGCTCCTCAGCGAACTACTGTGTGTGTGTGTCTGTGTGTGTCTGTGTGTGCTGCGTCTCCTCCAGAGCTGCCATTCAGTCTCCAAGAAGCTTCTCCAGAATTAGCGCTGTGTATTTTCAGCCTGCATGGCTCATCTCTCACCAATGACCCTGTTTGAATTCAGCCTCAGCTTCTCTTTACCTCCAAATTCACCTCCATCACTTCGATCTCATTCCCCCAAACCTCATACACACACATTCCCACTGCAAACTTTAAAACTATATTCTCTTTTGCCTAATTGCTATACACGGAGCGTTTCTAATTGCTATACACGGAGCCTTTCTTTTGAAGGTTGATATTTATCACAAAGAACAATAGCTCGTAGTCTTTTAAGAAAAATAAGACAAAGCAGGGCGATGGAAATTTAAATCTTCTTTCAAGCTCAACATTAAAGTTGTCAGTATTTCAAGTATCTGTACAATGCAATAGCTGTGCATGGCAACAGCCAGATAGCAAAGCTGAGGGAAAGATTTTGGTCATGACAAATT